TCCAAAGTCTCCCCCTTTAAGCCAGTTATGGACTCTAACAGACTTCAAACAAGCTTACACAACAGCCAAACTAAAGCGAAGGAAGATACGGTCAGAAACTTGATCAGAACCTAGCCTCACCCGGACAAATTACATTTAGAAAAACTTTGATTTAATGTAAGAAAAGAAAAGAACAAAGATTAAGAGATTAAGATTAAGATTAAGGTTACTATGTGGTCTTAATCTCTTAATCTTAGTAGTAGCCAAGTTTTGCAAAGCTTTTCGGAAAAAAAAGATCAAAGAAATGACCGGAGGAAAATAAAAGACAGTTGTCGATCTCTTTTCGAAAAAAATGTTTAGATTGTCTAGAAAAGCGTTCCATTTTCTCTTGTTTTTTCTCTTGACGATCTCCAAGCAGCACCTGGATCATTTTTCTTTTCGTTTTTTTTCCTCCATCAACTTTTTCCCCCCAGGTACAGCTGTGCGAGGGTGGAGAAGCTGTGTCAAGACAAAAAGACAAGGACAAAAACGCCTTTGCTCTAAAAATTACAGATTTATTGGGATTCGATTTTGTGATTAAGATATTATGATTATCTTTAAAGATAATAAAGATTAAAGACACAAATGATCCTGTTGCGCAAAAAATTAACGCAAAGTAGGGAGTGGGACAAATGCGACCTTTTTTTTGCGCACCTGGACATTTGCGCACCTTTTTTTTGCTAGAAAAGGCCTTAGGAAAGGTCGTAGAGCTTCAAAAAAGTTTTCATAGAAGGGAATCGTATGCGTAGATTCCGAATTTCGACAAATCAGATTTCGCTGACACGTCAAATTTGGACTAAAAGGCAAAAACTACGCAACTTAACGCTTTTCCGCAGTTTTTGCCCTTTAGCCCAAATTTGACGTGTCAGCGAGGTCTGATTTGTCGAAATTCGGAATCTACGCATACGATTCCCTTATATGGAAGTATTTTCGAAATATTTTCGAAGCTCTACGGCCTTGCCTAAGGCCTTTTCCAGCAAAAAAAAAGGTGCGCAAATGTCCAGGTGCGCAAAAAAAAAGGTCGCATTTGTCCCACCCCCCGCAAAGTAGCCTACCCCCAAAAAAAGACCAGTTTTTACATTGGAAGGGAATTTCCCACCAAATCAGTTAAACGGCTGAGTATCTTTAAAAAGTGTCATATATAATGAGGGGCTCGTCACTTTTGCGTCATTTTTTTGCAATAATTTTTGCTAAAACTACGATAATTTTTTCTCAAGCGTGCGTATTAAAAAAACGCATTACTCGCGAGGAACACACTCTAGTTAATACTCATAAGTTATCTGCACCATACCTTTCCCAGGTAGAGCTGTGTATTTTAAGTTAATACTGATAAGTTTCCTTTCGAATCGTGCCTAGTCCAGTGACTGAGCTTTGTTAGATTGCTCTTTCAAAAAGTTGAGATTAATAGGTTGAACTTTCATCGAGTTTCTTCCCCAAGGGCACCTTCATTTTTCCTATTTTTTTCAATTGTTTTTTTGCCAGGTACAGCTGGTTGGAATCTCGACAAAATCCCGCCTTTTCTTTCGTAACTTACAGATTTATTAACGTTTTTTTTAGAAGAAAAGAAAAGAAAAATGAGGATTGAAGTGAGAAAATCATTAATTATATATAAATACTTTATTCAGAAAGAAATAAAGTGCGAAAACGACATGAAAAATGTACTAGATAAAAGATAAAAGATGACAAAGTCACTTAAAATGCAACGAAATAGCCCTTTTAAAATCAGACACGGTGGAGATCAAACGCAACTTGTCGGGAAGGGCATTCCAAAAGAGGAAATCTTTAAATCAAAGATTTAAACAGGTTTAAACAAATTTAAACAGAAAATTCTAGAAAATCAGGAATTTGAGAATCAAATTTTCGTGAATCCAAAAAGAAAAAAAATCATAAATTTGGAAAGAAAGAGGAAAAAAAGAGGAAAGAAAATGGGAAATTAGTGGAAAAAAAGGATTTTATTTTATGCTAAACATAAAACGATTGGTTAATATTGAAAAGAATGCTTAAAAATCTTTAAAAAAAGATCCGATTTGATCAACTCAACTATTTATCTTCGCATAACAATGTGCAAAAGCTGAAAATGCGGTTTTAAAATTGATTTCTTATGACGTTGATACCGTACTCAAAGGAATTGAAAGAAAAGTAGAGAGAAATGAACACCAATCTTTCAGGAGAATTGTGCTTACCATTGAAATATCCGGCCTTAACTTGAGAAAGAGAAAGAGGGAAAGATAAGGGGGAAGAAGAAAGGGAAACTTGTATCGTTCATTGTTATTGACGGCGAAAAGCAATATTGTACTGGCAATGAGTACACGTATTTCATTGTCATTAGCCAACAAATTACCCGAAACTACCCAGCATTATCCATCTAATTATTTAATAAAGCGAATAAGTTCGAATTTCAAGTGCTGACAATGAGTATTCATTGGATAGTGCCTAGTGATTGTTCAAGTCTTAGAAAGCTTTATTTCCTTCCTTCTTTCTTTCTTCTTCCCCCTTATCTTTCCCTCTTTCTCAAGTTAAAGCCGGATGTTTCAATGGTAAGCACAATTCTCCTGAAAGCAAAAGATTGGTGTTTAATTCTCTCTACTTATCCCTTCAATTCCTTTACTTCTTTATCAGAAGGCTTGAGATTACAAGAGTGATACTCTAAAAGAGATACAGAAAGCAAGAATAAAGTAAACAAACAAATCAAATATTCAATAGAAAGAGATTCAGGGAAAAACGAAAGCAAAAGTTTCTATCGAAAATTCTACCGTACTTCAAAAAATAGAAGTGAACGCTTTCTTAACGATCACTGTGATCACTAAGCGTAAATGAGTTCTAGAAACAAAACTAAAAACTATAAAAATTAATGAGTGCATCGAAGGGAATTACAATAATTACAGGGATTCTAAAATAGCTCGACTAATTGACGCCCAATCCTCTCGGTTCAAGAGTTTTTCTTGAAAAATCAACTTTTGAGTGGGTGGATTGAATTTGAGTCTTTTTTTCGGTTTTTGAGAAGAAAACAAGACCTTTTGGGTCTTTTCTGTCGAAAAAAAACCTCGCAAAGTCAACAAGCAAAAGTCCATCTTGAGTCCCATTGTTGGATTGTAGAGCATCGTGTCAACACCATTTTTGTGCTCAAGTCATCAGAAAGTCATCAGAAATCAGAAATCAGAAATGAAGTCCTTCTAACTACGATAGTATCCAGTGTACTTTGTGGTCAAAAGTGAAAACACATCCTTTCCGGCGCACTGAGTTTTTTTACTAGATACTTTTAGAACTTCTTTTAGAACTAAAGGATAGATCTTTTAAACCTAAAATGCACTACTGTAAGTCTATAGAAAGTTACCGTAACCCAATTCAATCCAATTTAAGGTAAATGTTAAAAATTTATAGTGTTAAAAGTGTTTTTAAATTAATTCTTGTGTACTTCTTGAAAGAAGGAAGTTGATAGAAAGAAGTTGAAACTCGTAAACTTTAACATCGACTGTTTTTTTTTTCTTCTCAAATCCACGTGTTGAAATTGAAATCTTTAACCGAAATCGATCCCATTGACTATGAGACAAACAAAAGGATCTAATAATCGGTAAACAAGTGAAAGGGTCGACATTCTTTTGCGAATTGGATGAACTGGACAAAAACTGGGCAAAAACTGGGCAACTTTCCGTAATACGAAACCGAGTTTGCCTAAAAAAGCTTTTCAAATTCGAGAAAAGAGCACGTTTGAGTTTTTTTTTTAAGGTTTTTCTGAAAGCAGTTGCCGAATTGCCGAATGCTGAAGAGGATTCGAGTTTTGTTTGAAATTTGAGCTCTAGAAATTTTCCCCGAACAATCATTTCTAAAGGATAGCACGGGTTAAAGGGATATTTTAAGCCAAAGTCAAGTTTTGGCAAACATCAAAAGTTGCGTTTTCTAAAACGGATCAACTTTAGAAGTTACCATAGTCTTGCCTCTAATTTTCATCCAATTTACTTTCGATGCTATTCTGTAAGATGCAAAAATAGCTAGATTGGATAAAACTAAAGGCAAGGTATGGTAGCTTTCGAAAGTTGACACATTTTAAAAAACATAAAATGCTATCGAAAGGATCCATAAAATCTGTATTAATGTAGTTTTCAAAAAGTGATACATTTTAGAAACCACATTATTTTAAGGGAAAACTACTGTAATAGAGATGTTCGTCATTGAAATCACACACTAGAGATTCCAAATTGGTTAGAGGCGATTTTTGTAAAAAAGTGATTTCATTCGAATCATCCCTCCACCCATTCAAAGCTAATGAAGTGGAAAGAGGAAAAAAACGGATTTGTGTTCAAATCAAAATTGTGTAAATCCAGAGAGATAACTCGAGATTTGTGCGAAATGATTTCATGATGTCATAAACTCAGAATGGAAGCGGGCTAGCTATGAGAAAACTTTGATGACAAAATTACCCGATTTACAGTAAAAAGACTGAATAATACCAAATCAGAAGCTAATTTAGAATAGGTATGCATAACTGACAGACCTAGCAAGTACGGAAACAAATTTTAGGCAAAGTAAAAATTTTTTTCGGAAAAAACCTGCTTTTCACTAACCACAATAAAATCTCGAAAGTCCAAAGTGCCAAATCAACATCTGTTCCCAATTTGTGTCGCCTTGTCTCCAAAATAACCAAAACTAATGGATGGAGGCTCACATGTGTGCAAAGCATACCATAGTTTAGTATATCGTTTCAAAGAACATTTATTATGCCTACGCTACCTTACTTCATGTCATAAACGCGTTCTCAAAAATGAGCCTTTAAAAACTCCGGTTCAATCCTTTCCACAGCAAACCTAGTAACAAATTTATTTAACGTAATAAAAAAGATTATAAAAACTGAAAACGAAATAAAACAAATCACTGAAAAATTAAATCAGAAAAAATGAAAATGAAAAACTAAACAAAATCTTGCGAAAATATTACTATAGCAAAAACAAATGTGATGAAACAAAGAGGAAAAATTTGGGAAATTACTTTCTTGCGGCACGAGCTTGCCGATACTCGCGTTCCATATATGACTTAAACCTGAAAGGAAAAAGTCTTATAGGATTTAGTGCCATCAACGATCAATCTTTTAGCAGAGTCCAGTAAATCGCCGATATAAATATTGCTTTATATTAAACCTAAACATAAAGCACAAACTTACTCCTGAAAGTATGTCGCTCGTCGTTTTGGAATCCCCATTCGCTTCTCAAACGCATCGTTAACGGTTTGCTCTAGCTTTCCACAATTCTCGTGCATGATCCAACTCATAGGCGCTAACACACAAGTTAGATCCAATTATCAAAAAGCAAGGTTACCGAAAGCGCGATACGAGGCGGTGAGTTGATTGTAGATGCTGACAAAATCTTTTTGTTCATAACTATAAAACTAATTGTTAGCATAATAAAAGAGCAACTTTCGCTCAGGTGAGCTTTACCTGACAAGTGAGAATTCTCGACGTAAATCTTCCAGGCGTTGAGGCTTCCGCTAAAAAGCAAAGCAATTTTGGATTGGAAGATTGGATTCCTTACATTTGCAATCATTTCCTCGACTTCTTGTACTCTTTGCGCGCTCTTGACTTGGTCCGATTTCAGTTTGAGATCGTAATATGCCTCCGTCCTTGTAAGATCTTGATTTTCCAGGCGTAATTTATAAAGGATCCTCTAAACCAAAATGTTTGATCAAACAATTTGATCTTTTTCATAACAGAAGATCCGAGCAAAAACATACTTGTGCGGAAATGCTTTTGAGGCGATCAAACGTCGGAAGAAGTGCTAAACCAATGCGGGCATCAAGAGCTTCATCCAATAAAGCGTCACTTCTTGTCCGTTTGTTCAACTAGAGTTAACGTTAGGCATGAATTCATTCAAACTTTACCGATTTGTAAGTGTCGACTGCTTTGAAATGAATGTATTCGTCAACCCACTCTTTAAAATGTTGCTTATTATTGTTCTCCGTGAGCGTGACGTTTGATGTTGGCCCGAACCAAGCACTTGGAACCTATAAAACCAGTTAGCCATAAGAAAGTTAAATCAAACCAAGTCGAAGCGATCAGTACTGTAATCGTCAATTTCATATAGAGCGTCTTTGCCTGACTAAATGTGCCTTTAAACAGCTGTAAAAACTATTCCAAACCTTAAGGGTGAATCTAATTTCTTCGAAAAGTCTTCGCTCTTCTCTAAATAAAAGTTTAAAAAAAGAGATTAAAAAACCATACAGGCTTTCAAACATGAATTCGCGGGCGTATCCAAATCGATATGTGAATCGGTGATTGGTCTTTGGCGGTTTTTCATCGTGATTATCGTAGGCCCTGAGACGACTGTTGATTTCATCTTTCAAGGAAGAGCCGGCTGACGCTGGTTCGGCCAAACGCTAAAATAGAAAGTCTGAATATGTTCAGCATCACTAACCATTCGTCTAATTTTGTATGCAAGATGTTCGTCCGAGCTGTGGAAATTCTGAATGTACATATTGTACCATCTAAAATAACTAGGTAGGTTAGAGAATTTGGACGAGAAAATAAATAAACTTTTATAAAGACTCACTTTTCATTGTTTTTATCTTTCCTCGTAACAACATCGATGACAACATCAACTGGGTCGAAAGTTGGCCAGTAAAAAGCCCAGTGTCTTTTACGTGACGGTACCTCGAAGTCGTCAGGCCAAGATAAATCACGATATTTTGGAGTTTGACGCCGATCTGTAAAAATAAAGAGTTCAATTTAAACAGCATTTCACTTGTCATTCTTTCTTCCTCATCAGTGCGTTCTGGTTTACGATTAATAGCAAGCAGCTTTGCACACTAGAAAAAAAGAACCGTCAAAGTAGGAAAACAAAACCGACCATTGTGCCATCATTATGCTCTTCGTATCGCCTCAATTTTTCATCTTGAATCCGCCCATCAAATTGCAGCAAATTACAAATCGACTCCTAGACTTTGAAACTATACACTCTAAAAAGGTAAAATTCACCACCAATTCTTCTTGCTTGTTTGATTTAGGATGACAAGCGAAAGTCTAGAAATGTGTAAACTCAAATCCAAGCTCAAATTTCTTACAGTAAGAGTGGATGGTAGCTGCTTGTCCATAGATCTCGGCATCACGACAGGTGAAAGCGGGCTCACCTTTGGCGGAATTTTAGGAGGCGTTCTAGGTTCCCGAGGTGGCATTCTTGATCCCAGCAAAGGCGGCAATCTAAACATCAACCGATAAAGTTCGTGACTCTACCTGGACAACAATCACATATGACCTATTTGAAGCCTTAATTTCTTACTCTAAATGCCTAGCATAATCGTAATATTCTACCCAATCTTTCGCTGAAGCTGTTCCAATGAAGGAAAAATAACATCAGAACAAGGAGGTAGTGTTTTGGGTCCAGGGATCACCGACCTAAGTATAAACAAGCCTGCTGCATTTTCTTAAAAACGCACTTGAGCCTAGTTGAATGCTCTGCTAACTCTGTGGTTCGGTTAATTCGTTGACTTGCCTCCTTGGAACTTCGAGGGATCTCCAACCTAAGTATGGAAAAGCTTTGTGTATCTATAACGTGAAGCTCACTCGGACCTATTTGCGTGCTCCATTAACTCAGTCGCACTACCTATTCGTTGACTTGCTTCCTTGGAATTTACATCTCTAAAGAAAAGATATTCAAATTTAGATCTAAACCATTCAAGGTCAAGTTTTGAAAGAAGACCAATGGCCATCATTAACAGCGTACCCAAATTTTGCTCCAAAAAGATGTTCAAACGTTGAAAGAGCAACTTCCACATTTGGCATTTCCTCCAGTTCGACATAACGACCGAGTTCCGCAAACGAAACGCGCTTTAAAAGAAAGAGCTAAAACAGAGAACAATAGACTAACTTTAGTCTTTGGCGTCTTGTATCCATTGGAATCGTCAACATCTTTTTTCTCTCTCAGCAACTCTCTTGGTTCCCAACGAAGTAAGGTTTGATGGCGTGGCGGTGTTTGAGGCACTAAAAAGTCAAGAAATAAAATTGGCTATCTCTAGCAGATACTTTCCTCGTACATATTGACTCCACTTACCTGAGTGCTGGTTTATCTTTTTTCTTGGGGGGTCGATCAACTTCCTTGAGAAATGCAGTTGAAATTGATGAAACTTGACTCGATGATCTAAATTAGACCAAGTTTCCCGTAAATTCTTTCTTAAAAGTTACTTGAGAGCCCCTGCAAACTTCTTTCCCTTTGAACCCATTGATCGATCTTGGGGCCGTTTTTTTAAGATCGCAAAAAGTTGAAGCTGCTTCCGATGAGCTAAATGGAGACCTTTTATAAGAATAACACCATAAAGCATCGATTTAAACGATATTGAAGCAACTTTAAACCTACCTAAGCTTTGTCAAATCTTTTTTTATGAACTTCTTCATCTTTCTTCTTTTTCGTCGACACATTGCGATTATCATTTGTTGACTTCGTACTTTCACTAAAGAATCACATTACCACATCACATCCTATCTTAACTTCATCTTAAGCCGAATCTTCAGAGTAACTGGTGGGGCTGCATCGGTTTTCGTCAAACTAAATATAACAGATCAAACACAAAAGATTTCCGAATACCGCTTAGAACTTGAATTCAATTACCCCAAACCGGCATCTGCACCTTGTGGTTTCGGATGTTTCGACCTCGTTGCATTATTGTTGAAGGCATCAATGACGGCAGCAATTTCTTCAGCCCTAAAAAGATGACAAAATACTTCCGATAATGATAAAAACAAACATAATCGAACTAAACCACGGAGACCTGTCCTGTGAAAGTTCGGCTCTTTTTCGACATACACTGGAAGAGTTTTCGTCGGAGCCGGATTTTCGAATGACACAAAATGAAGAAGCCGAGACGGCTGAATGAAGAAATCATCTGTGGTAACGCTAAAAAACAGGTAGGCTTCAAAGAAACAAAAAAAAAAATACCTCAGAGCCTTCAAATTCGACGCTCTTTCCTTCTTTAGCAACCTTTTAACACGTTGAAGCGATGGAAAAGACTTTTGTGAATATTTCTTCAACGCCAGTTCTCGCAAACTAAAAAAGAAGAAAAAACGTGTTTTCCGTTTTAGAACGAACTTAATCGCTGCTGAATCTCCAAATTGCTTCTTGCGCTCAAGAATGTTGTCCATCAGCTTACTCTCATTGACATGCCTAAATGACAATGTGTTTATTCATCATAACAATTCTCTTTACAAATTAAACAATCAGAAGCAGTGTAATTATTATGTTAGTTTAGACTAAATAATGAAAAGATTCCAAACAGACATTTCAACCCGCGTGACCACCGAGTTGGTCGTATCCTGCATCAAAGGGTCCATGGTATGCTCAATTTTCGTGATCATCGAGGCGATTATGTCCAAGAGCAGCGGCGGATCCATGTCGATTTTCTTCGAGACTAAAATAAAAAAGTTAACGCAGGAAATCCAAAATCCGAAAACCATAAACAAACAAGAAAAATGAAACACAAGTGGTTTTCGGCGAACCTTTAAAAACACAAAACACGGACTTCGTAGCTGTCGCATTGTCTTCGCGGCTGCCCCATTTCATGCAAAGCATGGGGAAATTAAAAAATATTCAGTTTAAAAGGGACTATGGTATAAAAAGTCGAGAAAGAGTAGGGGAAACCATTGTCACTTTTCGTTTTTTAGTTGGTAAGCGCTAGCGTTGAGTATTAAGGCTTGTTAGAAACTTATCTAATCACTTAGCCAAACTTAGAAATTTGCTGCAAACATGATTTCTGGCGCTACCACAGTTGACAGACCGAGACTAGCTAGACTAAATCTTTGAGAATTTGAGCTTTTTCCGTTTTTGAGCATGCTGGGTCCAAATAAAGCAAAATTTTACTTAATTTTACACCTTTTACTATGGAAGAGACCGAGGCTAGCTAGCCAATCTTGAAAATGATCATTGGGAAGTCAGAGCTTCTGCGAAGGTCCAAGGTCTTTAAGCACATTCAAGCGTTTTCCACCGCGGAAAATGAATAATGAACATTTTTGCGCTTTGCGCTCTTTTATAGGACGCTTAGCTGAATATCTTGATTTTCGCATTTTAAATATTACCTAAAATAAAAATTTCAAAAAAAGTGAAAAATTTTTGGAAACTCCAACATCACATCCGAGCCCAACCGTATCAAACCATTTTGAACTTCTTTTACGCGTTTTTAACCAATGTTTGCCGTTTGATACATATTTTCTATTTAGTTACACTAGAGGGCTGACGATGAATAGCGAAGATGGGAGCCCTAAACCAGCGGTTGATCGTTGGCTTCACTGCAACGCTTGCTACGCAGTACCGGATGCGGGAGGCGGCAACCATTACTACTTCGTCTCTTGTGGACACATCTTCTGTAGAAATTGCTGCGCAAAAGGTTTGCTTTAAAGTCCGTATGTTATTCATGTTTTCATTTAGGCGCCGAACTTGCAAAAGCCGCCACTTGTTTGCTCTGTAAGAAGACGCAGGTTCAATATATGGACATCAACCGAAATATTCAAACGAAATTTCGAGTTTGTTAGCCTTATTGTGAAAGTTATGCATCTTTTAGAACCTCTTCCGACCTTTGAAAGATGTCGCACAAGAATGTATGACAGAGATGCAACGTGTGATCGAGTTCCAACAGCGTCACAAGAATGGTCTCGTGCGACACTTCTCTTACAAGGACCAGAAAGCCGTCACTTTTGCAAAATCGGTGCGCTGTGAACTCGAAAAGCAAAAAGGAAGAGAACAGTAAGTTTGGCTCTTTCCCTAAATCGTGGTCTTTTTTTCAAGGGAGTCATTTTCGTGTTTTTTTGCTTGAAATTGAACCAAAAATACTGGGTTTTTTTTTGTGAATTTTGGAACGCGTCGGCATCTGTCCCCATCTTGAAAGTTGATTTCCACAAAAAAGGAAAAAGAGGTTTAATGCCAGAGATCGAACCTTGGTAGTACGACTTGTGTCGTGGTTTATATGTTTGATTTTTATCACTAAACATGTTTTAAACACTTTGTACATTTTGCAAAAAAAGTTGACCGTGTCTGGATTCGAACCAGGGCCAAAAACCTGCAACTCGGCACACTATCCACTAGGCCACCGTTGCAGTTGGTAAGGGAATGTGTGAAAGCCCTAAAATGGTATGCCAAAACTTTCAAGCTCGATATCTCGCGTTTGCAGGCCCTTGGGCAAAAACTAATTGCATATTTGAGAAGCCCATTTCAAGCTCTATCGAATGGTCCAAGTCAAGAGTCGAAATTCCACAGTGCCTCTGCGCCTTCCCTTTGTAAGAAAAAAAAACGGTGAAACAAGCAAAAAATAAAAAACACGAAAAATTTACTTTTTTTGGCAAAAGGCCACGATTCAGGGAAAGAGCCGTAAGTTTTTACTGAGATAAATAGTAACCTACAAAAAATAAACTTACATTTTGTTATAAAAGTTTCTTTAGGCAGTTTGTCAAAGAGCGAACAGAGCTGCAGAAACGCGTGGAAAAACTGCGCAAAGAGAACGAACAGCTGAAGAATCAAATGGAACGTATGCGCCAGCAGCCTTCACCCCAAACAGATTACATGTCAACTGCGCCAGGTATCAAACTGTTTTGTGGTATTTAATTTATATTAGGAAAAACAAGATTCGGGCCTTGGAACAAACGACTCCCTCTCATTGTCATTTATTGAGACGGTGACGAGCACTCCAATTATAGTGGGCTTCATTTCTTCGACAAAACATTTTGTATTTAGGAACAAGGCCCAAATACACGTCGACATCTTGCAGCCGCCTTTCAAGTGGGTTTACTTCAATTCGGCTGCCTATTTAATACTTTATATTTAGATTAGCAGTGGAGCTGTGTCATCGCCAATATGCTCCGTAAATCGGCTTTTAACAACACCGGCAATGCTTGGCCTCTCAAAAACTCCACATACCTTCCACACGTTAGTGACAATCGTGTTTATTAATGCAAATTTTTTAGACAGGAACTTATTGCACCACGATCAGCAGCGCCCTATGAGAAGATTGGACTCTCGGGTGGAATGCGAATCGTTGAAGAAAGAAGAGTGCTCACCGATCGTCGTCCCAAATCCAAGTAAGATTTTCCTTTATAAAAGTAACAACACTATCAAAAGGCACTCCTTAATTTACTAATTCAGGAAACAAAATGGCTCGCGTGGACAAGACTCGGACGACTATATGGATGGAATCGGCTAAATCGATCGTTTTTGTGTAAAAGTCTGAGAATTTATGGTGAATGGTTGTGTGTTCTTATGTAGATGTTTGTATTTTAATTTTGGTTCTATTAGTACTAATAAATGTCTTATAGTAAAATTAAAGGGAAAGAACAATGATTAAAAGAAATTGCAATGGATAAGTAGATGCTGGCTACATATCCATTGCAAAAAAAAAACCCGAAAATCAGAAAAACATTACACAAGCACCAAAATTGAAAGACATTTTTAATAATAATAAGATGGTTGTTGAAAATTCTCTATGTCCATCATTTCTCTGAACCTAAAATCAAGCACCTTCGATTCGATCAAGTAAAATAATCAATTGCGTTAATTGAATAACTTTCATGAACTAAAAAAATAGTTTAACCGCTTCTGAACTGAGTTTTCTCTGTAAGTTCTGCATTTCTGCATTTTGTTTTCTAAGGCGTAAATTTCTAACAGATCTACACTTTAGAAAACAAGCAAAAACAGTTGTTTGCTAAAATGCAAAACTCGTTGCCATGTCTACTAATATGGTGTCGCTTTGTTGTCTTTCACAAAACAGAATTAGATCGTTTATTTATGGCAGATAAGTCTCCAAATAACAATATTCATCAATGTAGCCAACTCTGGGGTAATTTTTGCAATGTTTTCACGTAAACAGAGTTGTCTAAAGCTCAAAAATCAGCACAAAAGCACCATCCTAAAACAAAATAATAATCGAAAAATATTTGGTTCAAGTGTGTGGGGGGTTTTGAGAGACATTTGAGCAGTTTTTTAGAATAGACTTTTAATAGAATAGATTTGCATCGATATTCCACCGTAATTTTTGTCTATTTTATCGATAAACAAGTCCATCTTTTAGCAAACAATTGGCAATATTTTTTTTGGGAAAGGCTTGCGATATGAAATGAGGCAACAAAAGAGAATCTCGAAATTTTCAAGGAATTTTGTTTTTGAATCATTATGAGTGAAACAAGAAGAGATACCCTGGAAATAAAAAAAAAAAATAATAATAATAAGATGAAAAAGTAGATTGATCTTAAAATATTTGTGTCTAGGAATCACAGTTGGAGACACACAAAAATCGGTTGTTTTACGATCAAAGAGAGCACAAAATACTCAATCGTACTAAAGCTAAATTCTATTAAAGTCTAAAATGAATCAAGCTAATTTACCGTAACTTATTGCTAATGCTAAAAGCTTAGATTGTAATTGTAAATGTTTTCTAGACAGTTAGAGTCAAAGCAAACTTTGGCTAGCACTTTGTGCTCTAGTAAACCCGCACTATCTGGCACGCCAACCATAACAGGTTGTGCTAGAAAGCACGCGTTTACTAGAACACACACAAAGTACAACTCCAGACCAAATAAATTCTCAATAGCTACCTCTTTGATCGTACACTCAAAAATAAACCCGTTCGACTAGAAGAAACGAAATGAGCCGTACGCAAAAATGAAATTCATTCACTGGCTGTGAATCGCCAAAAGCACCGAAATGTTATGTAAGAGAAAAGAGATTGACAAATGATTTGGAAAAATGAGTGATCTTTTCTAATGACGACCCATTAGTCGACTCGCTGAATTGTACTGATGACCGAGAGTCGAACCGTCGTAGTCGGGCACATGCTGAGACTCCATCATGGCAAGCATATCCTAAAATTATAGAATTTTAAATGCTGACTGGATTTTTGCTAAATGAATTTGAGAACTAGAAAACTTTTCAGCAAAGATATTCAATCGTAAACCGTGATAAAACACAATATCAAAGCTCAATCTGACAAGGGAAGGTCAATTGGTTGAGTCAAATACTATGCACTTACCGTAAATACTGTAATAGCACCCCACCACCCCCCTCGTACAGTCGCGTCGTCGCAAATCTTTTTTCGTATTTCATTTTTTTCAAAGCGCCCGTACTTTCAAAAAATGCGTCTTTGGTATCAAAAAATAGCTGAAATTCAGGGCTATCTTTTGATACCTAAACGAGCATTGTAGCATAAACCAGTGTCGAGAAAAACTCGTTCAAAGCTAGACTACGTAACACTCCGCACCGTCATTATGGGGGTGGGGTACTATTACAGTATTTACGGTATGCCATTCCACGCAGAATTTGATGCTGATTTAGAATATACAGGGTGGTCCACAGAAAAATGGCCTATAGAAAATTTGATGCTGATTCCGAATATGTATTCCGTTTTTGCTAAATGACAATCTGTCAGGAGTTATAAGCGTCTAAAGTTTTGTTAGGACTCTAAAAATCTGGTCATTTGGGTCTTAGCGGCCTCCTTGCACGTGTGGTTTGAGGCAGTCGTGGTCGAGTGGTTCGGCGTTCATTTTTAGAGCGAGACCTGGCCAGTTCGATCCCGGCTTTGGGTACTTCTTTTG